CATTGCTGGAAGAGTTTTATTCAAGGCGAACTGTCAAGGGGTTCCCATTATTACCCAACCGCGTAAGGAACGCAAAATCCAGGAACATAACACCGATATGACGGAAACTAGGGCGGCAAGAGTGGAACAAAACACCAGGCATAAGGCCGAGCCTTCCACCCTTTACCAAGTATATAGATGCATTAATTAAATAAGATATATTGTGATATCCCAACAAGTAAACATGTTCCAAACAAGGAACAACATCTCCATGTTCCAACAAGGAACAAACTTCAATCTTCACCTGCAACTAACAACGCTATAAGGGGGGCTGAGCAAAGCGGTAACATAGCCAAACAACGGTTTGCTAGGACAAGGTGGGTTAGAGGCTTGGTTCAACAATATGGGAGGCATGATAAGCAAGTGGTAGGTATCGCAGCATAGGCATAGCAAAAGAGCGAGCATCTAGCAAGCAAATATAGAAGTGATTTCGAGGGTATGATCATCTTGCCTGAAATCCCGCAAGGAAGAAGAATGAGTCCATGAAGAAGACAAACGGGCATAGTCGAACGGGTCCTCACAAATGCAACGTTACCGGATTACCGAGAAGAAATACACCGGAAAGAAAGCAAACAACATAGTAAACAACCACCACATAAGCATGGCACGATGCGCAAACAAGTATGATGCATGTCCGGTTTAATGAGGCATGGCATGGCAAAATGCACAAACAATCCTACAAATTAAGTGGAGCACAATATGCAACTCCGTTGCATATTAACGAAACACCATGTGACTTATTTAGTTCGATCTTGTTTATGTACCCAACAATATTAAATGTTGTTAAACATGGCAAGAGGGTGAAGCAAATGAAAACTACCTATCTAGGCAAGTTTAAATGAGGCCGGAACAACAAAACAACAAGTCCGGAAACTCCTCATATGCATATATTAGGTTTGGTACTGTTCTGCCCTAAACACAATTTTAGAGTTATTAAACATGCAAAACAAGTACACTATGATAATCTATGCATTTTTCTACCCCATTTACATATAAAGTTTATTAAATTCGGAGTTACGGTTATTTAGTTATGAATTAAATTATTTTAGCAAGTTATTTAAGAAAATTTAAACAAACAACATTTTAAACATTTTAAACATAGATGAAAGTTGCAAATTATTAAACTAGACAAAATTCTAAGCAACTTTCATATATAACTTGTTTTAATATGATGCATAGGTTGAGAGATAAAATATGCATGAACAACAGGGAGGTTTCTGTAAAACTGTAAAACACTGAATAAAAGACAAAATCGCTAATAGGAAAAAAATAGAAGCGGGTCGAATCTGCTGGACTGGGCCAACAGAGGAGGAGGACTGGATTTGGTGCTCACATTGGGCCAAGCCCAATCGGTAGATCTGGCCCAAGGGGCGGCTTGACAAGGCGGCACGGTAAACGCGCGGGCAGCCCGAGCGAACAGAGGCAGAGGAGTTCTCCTCCCCGTTCGAGCATAGCAGAGGTGAGGCCTGACCAACGGCGGCGCAGCGGCAGGGACTTGGGCGGAGGATGGGGAGCATGGCGGGGAGGCGCAGGCCAGCTAGGCGACTGGATCCGGACGCAAGCAAGGCAGGGGAGGCATCTCCCATCGGTGGTCATGGCGGCTAGCTGCAGCGAAGACAGATAGAGCAGTCGAGAGAGATGTGAGCGAGAGAGCACGGAGGCGGACCGAAGGAAGGAGAGGAGGGGTTAGTGACCTGCGGAGCTCCTACGGGGTCCATGCTGGAGGAGGCCCGCAGCGAGGTGGCGGGGTCGAGCAGGAGGAGGCTCTCGGGCTCCTCTAGAGGCTGCGGTCGCTCGATCAAAGCGGCGGGATTTGCGGGGATGAACCAGGTGAGTCTGGAGATAGTCGTAGAGGTCGGGAACGGGCGCGACGAAGGAGCAGGAGGCTGACAAGGTCCTGTACGGGCGGCTTCGCAGATCCATCGGGGACGAACAGGTGACGACGCGCACGTCGAGGATGCGACCATGGATGGGGTTCCTGCCCAGCGAAGAGAGAGCAGAGAGATGAATCGCAGAAAGAAGAAAAGGGAGAGAAGAGAGCAAGGGAGACAGGGCGCGGCACGGGCCTACTGGATGTGGTCGTCGGCGGCGAGGCGCGAGGTTGCGAGTCGGAGGAGCTCCTGCGGTGGTTTGTTGGAAGAGAGTCGGGGTGGATCCCCATGGAGGATGAGGCTGGCAGCGGCTTCATTGGACAGGGAAGGATGAGGGATGGATCCCGATGTGGATTCGATGGGGATTGCGGCGGCGGGTGAAGGGACAAGTCCCTAGAGTTTAGGGTTGTCCAAAATGGACTAGGGATAGACTATATATATAGTAGGTGGGTTGACTTAGGGGTATATCGTCCCTCCGATCGCAATCGAACGATCGCGAATAAAATAGCTAGGAAGTCCAAATAAGAAAACGGTGACGTTTTGTAGACGTTTAGGGATGATCCGGATCCAACGGTGACGACTGCCCGGGTCGGGTCCGGGATAATTTCGGACGCGCACGAGGAGGGTGTGGGCTGACAAGAAAGTTTAGGTAGGGCCTGACGGTGAGTGGGTAGTGGGCTGTGCAGAAGGCCTCAGACTGAGAGAAGAGAAAAGAGAGAGAGACCCGACGACTGTTTTCGGAGACAGAAAACGGCCGACGTTTGACCGACTATATTGTCGCTATAGTTAATCGTTTGGGCGTCAAACGATCTCCGAATGCGATAAAACTTGGCAGGTGGCCTACCTACAACATAACACCACATGCCAACTTTCAACCCATTCCGAAAACATTTTCCGGCCACTTATAAAATAATATTTCGGACGTTCCACGGGCGTGTGCAAGTGTGTCTGGGCTCCGAACGGACAACGGAGAGAACGAGAAGGCCGGGACGGATGCAAGTTTTGAAAACATGATGATGCAATGCACATGATGACATGATAAGATGCAACACGCAAGCAAATGACAAGCCAACAACAGCAAATAAGCAGAGGACACCTGGCACATCGGTCTCGGGGCGTTACATTGCATAATCTCATAGTCACAGGATCATGTATAAGTCATGATGAAAGCAATAGCAATAAAACTAAACGATCATTTATGCTAAGCAAACGGATCGGTCTTGTCCATCACATCATTCTCTAATGATGTGATCTCGTTCATCAAATGACAACACATGTCTATGGTCATGAAACTTAACCATCTTTGATTAACGAGCTAGTCAAGTAGAGGCATACTAGGGACACTCTGTTTTGCCTATGTATTCACACATGTACTAAGTTTCCGGTTAATACAATTCTAGCATGAATAATAAACATTTATCATGTTATAATGAAATATAAATAACAACTTTATTATTGCCTTTAGGGCATATTTTCTTCATTTTTTCCATACACAATGGTAGAAAGTACCCTTCTCCGTTGACCAAAACACACCCGCACGTCTTGTCATGCATAAGGGGGTTGAAGGTGCATGAGTGGGTCAAATATTCTTATGCTTTGAGTGGTGAGGAAGGCCATAGCTGGGTGGAAATAAGTGTTCATGCCCCAAGGTTTTAAGAAGATAGAGGGTTATTTTTTGTAATTCGGTCTTTTAGTTCCTACTAGAGGTTTAAAGGTCTTAAATAAGTGTGAGTGATGGTTGTTTCAGTATCACTGGTATGGTAATTGGAGGTTCTAAGTGGTTCAGAGAAGATGACTGGATGATCCTTTTGCCACGTGGTACACAACGATGAGGAGGTCATCAGGGCGCGTGGACCACCACCATCGATCCCAACCGTGCATGATGTCGTCTGTCACTTGTCTTCTCCTCCTAGCCTCGGGCGGCCCTGCCCATCCCCGTTGACGTAGCTCCGCTCGTCTCCGTTATCCTCTTCTCAAATAGCTGTTGTTTCTCTCATCTTTGTCGTCTAATCGTCTCACCGCTCAAAGTCTTGCGCCAAACTGACCACCTCTACACGTGTCGACCAGTCATTCAACGACCGTCCTATGCCAGTACCACACGATGACAAATGTGTGGATTAGGACCCTGAGGGCATGCTTTTAATCTTGTTCTGTTTTTGGGGACGGTTTATGCAGTACGCTCTTTTTTTTTTGAGAAATCGTACAAGACATATGTGCTTTCTTCGACTTTTTTTCTCTTCAACTTTTTTTTTAGAAGAATGTGTTTTCTTCAACTGGACCGGACCAGCGGACCATCGCGCTCTTTGGGCCACTTCTTCCGCAAACGACCACTTTCTTAAGCTGTCAGCCCATCTACGGAATCGGGAGATACGCCAGGATTTCGGACAGTGGCAGCCACACAGGTGCATAGCAGCAGCAGAGAAGGGAAGGAGGAGCAGAGCGCGCCATGTCCCTGGTCGCCGCGTGCGCCGCCGGAGCGCGCGCCTCCCTGCTTTCCTCCTCCCCGTCGTCCTCGTCCCGCCCATGCCAGGCCCTCGCCCACCAGGTCCGCGCGTATAGGTCCCTTGTCTCGCCGGCGGCGAGCAGGGGAGGCCGCCGCAGTACGCGTCTCCGGGTGCGCGCAGCCAGGCTGGAGTCGACCGGCGTCTCCGTGGGCTTCCGTGCACCCCAATTTGAGGTCGCTCTTGCTTTTTAGTAATTTCTAGCCCATGTTTTAATCATGATTGAAGCCTCATGTTGCTGCCGTGTTGTTCTTGTTGGTGATTATGCAGCTCCCGGAGCCCCTGACGGGGAAAATCTGGACGCTGGATGACTTCGAGGGTAGCCCTGCTTTGCTGGTCAGTGAATCTTTTGGTTAATCTGTGCTATACATAGATGCATTGTTCGCTTTAATGACTGAAAAAGTTAGCGTGCATGCTTTCTGTTTAGCAGTCGTTGTTACCCTCAATTAGATAATTGGGAAGCTTTCTGATCATCGACTGGTCGGGTTCAATAGATGTTTAGTGACAACGGTATATCCAACTTTTTTCCTGTATGTTTATTAAGTCACCATGTCATATTGGTATATTTACTCAAGTTGCTGCTGTATGGTTGAGTTGGCATATGAGATGACATAAATGTGTTTTTTGATATGTTGATGATAATGCTGGGGTGTTGATGGATCAATGAGCTATGCAAGTACTCCCTCCGTCCCAAAATAAATGTCTCAACCTTAGTACAAAGTTGACACACTTATTTTGGGACGGAGGGAGTATATTGCTGATCTGATGGTTGGAAACAAGTTGAATTTTTAGTTCTTGATGAAGCAAGTTGATTTATTAGGCATGCACCCAAATTGTTCCTTAAAATGCTTGTGAAGATAGCTTTCTGTTTTTCTCGCTTCTACTACTCCACTGCAGTCACATGTTTCTTAAGCACTGTTTTTTCTGGAAATTTCGCCATGAATATTTTAGACACCAAGTAATAATTTCTAACCTTTACAATAGGTATCTACAACAAGGAAAAAAAAAATTCCATGGAAAGTGTAACAATTCCGAAAATGGTTTTCGAGTATGAGTGGTTCAGTAGACTGCCCTAAAGGCTTAGGTGTTCAGCCAACTCATGTGTCCCTTCCTTGAGGAGAAATATGGAGTGTTATATATCTACTCAGTTGTGCAAACATAACTGCAATTCTTGAAGATGTTTAGCACAAGTCCGTTCTTATTTTTTGTCAAATAACCACCAAGAGAGTAATTCTCGAGTTTGCCTTTCTTTCAGGTTATGTTCATATGCAATCACTGTCCATTTGTGAAACATCTGAAAAAAGATATTGCAAAGCTCACTTCATTCTATATGGAGGTAAGAACATTGCAAGACCAGATGAAAATTTGTCTTTGATTTGTGCTTGTAGCTTCAAATTGACATGGATACAAATATAATGCAATGCAGAAAGGACTTGCTTCTGTCGCCATATCCTCAAATTCAATTGTGACACATCCCCAGGTTATGCTTTACTTGCAACCAATAAGCATGAATAGCTTTTAGTTCCTTTCTGTGTACTTCTGAACCAGGACATTTCTTCCTGAGAACTTAAAAATGTTTTCTCAGAAAATTCATATTTTACTTAATTTATGACTGAACCTTATCCATCTAGCTAATAAAATGAATGATAGGTAACTGGCGGAATTTAGTAAATGGGAGATGCCTTTTGTTCTTTGCTCGTTAGACTTATGTATTGTGCTGCTTCTGTATCAATACATATTATTCCATTATGGTTGATGCAACTTGTCAGGTTTTCCCATTTGAACACAAATTAATCTTGTGATTCTGCAGGATGGCCCCGAGTACATGGCGGAGGAGGCAAAATTGTTTAAATACCCTTTTCCTTATTTGTATGATGAGGTCTGCCCACTATATGTGCTTCCTGATGCAGTCCCTGTGATCTCTCCAACTCTATGCTTACTATTGCACCTTGCAGTCTCAAGAAGTTGCTAAGGGTTTTCGAGCAGTCTGCACACCAGAGTTCTACTTGTTCAAAAAGGTAACAACATTGACTCGTATGCTCGTAATCTATGAATTCATGATGCTTATATGTTCCGTGTCTCGGTTTTCTTGTGTCACATCGTTCCTTATTTCTTATCTGTCTAAACTTTGTGCCAGGATGGGCGAAGGCCATTTGAACTTTTTTACCATGGGCAATTTGATGATTCAAGACCCAGTAACAATGTGCCAGTCACCGGAAGGTATATTGTGAATCGATGCGCAAACGCTCCAGGTTACCATGTGTTCTTATTCGTTTGCAACTTGTAGAGATTTAAGCCGTGCAATCGACTGCGCACTTAGTGGCCAAGAATTGCCTTTCGACCAAAAACCAAGGTATGTTCAGGTCAAGTAGAATCTTAGCATGTTTTCATATGTCTTTAATCCACTTTGTTAGTTTCCCAACGTTTCGTTTCTGTTCCTGTAGTGTCGGGTGCAGCATCAAGTGGCACAAGTGAAGAGCTTGTTCCGTTGACGACAAGCAGATGATTTTTGTTTTTCTCCCTCGAATTGAAACACGTGATCAAGGTGAGTCATGCTCAACTGTTTGAAGTTTGGTTGTTCAGACAGATAGGAAATGGAAAAGAATCTTCTCATTTGATCATGTAATATTTCGTTCTGCATTTGCCATGTTGTGATAAGGAGGCGGCACCTATATTTATGCAGTGCTGACGTTTCTGTTGGCGCTTGGTGGAGCGGACTTATGCGCCGGTGGTGATTGTTGGGGATCAGAATTGCGGATAAACAGATTGTCGGCGTCGGAGGTTGTTTTGTTGTGTATTACAGACAAAGTAGCAGTGCAGAGCCTGGCAGCCCAAATTCTACCCGTAGCTCTCTGAGGGGCCTAATTAGAACTGCTGTGATAAACATACACAAGGAAATAGTACCAACTGTTGATGTATCAGTACTTCAAACCTATGTGGACCACTGCCCTACTGCTATATGGTTTGTAGATGACAAACTAACCAGCATATAAACAGAGAGCATCAGCTAAACAAGATCTATATTGGTTCAATTCTGTAATGAAATAAACACTACCACATGCAAATCTTTATTAAGACATCAAATTATGAAACACAAGTCACTTTAGCTATACCTATATTGCAAACTTTCATCTTCCCTAGTCAATTAGGCATGTGGTACGGATTTTTGGAACATGTTTGCAGACGCACCCGATTAAGCATTTTTGTTAGAAAATAGTAAAAAAAGTGAAACTTTTTTGCGACAAACATAGTCTAGCATAATACTTATTTTTAAAGTTTCGGAACAAAATGAGCTATGTCATATTCTGAGCAAAAAAAATGCTGATACAAAAATCGTGAATAATGGCGTTTTTGCTTGGAATATGGCGTAAGTCATTTTGTCCCAATTTTTTTACCGTGAGTATTATGCTAGACCATGTATGTTGCCAAAAAAAGAAAGAAGTTTAAAATATTTGACTTCTTAAAATTCGGGTGCACCATGCCGGTTAGCGGTGGAGGTGTTGATGAACGACGAACATTGGACGACGTTGACAGGAATGGTGGAGGTGTGTCGCTGCAGTGACAGACATTGCATACCAAGTTCTTGATAGAACGTTCACAAGAGAAATATGACGGAAAGAGAGAGATTGCCACATGGAGAAAGACCGCTCAAAACCACGCTCAATCATTAAGAATGCTGGGTGATGGGACTGAAGTTGTCCTGTTTGAAGACTTAACTGTGCAAGTTGTCTGGTTTGAGATTTGAGGGATCAAACCTGAACTTTGCAAATGAGGGACGAAAAAAAATGCTTTTCTCTTATTTAAAAAGGGTTTTTGTTCAACACTACAATTATTTCAGAAGTGTTAGTTTGTTTTCTAAACTCCAATACAGAACATTCTTGCTCCCTAGTGTCGAAGTCATCCACATTAATTAGGTACTCACCCAAGTTCCATCAGCTTTGGTGATAGCATGGCGCTGGTTTAAAATGTTTTTATTTCCCATGTCTTAATAAGAATTACAATTCATTAACTTTTTTTACTGCCCATGCTCTATTTTCCTGGTTATCCCTGCTCTTACCTATATGATCATCAAATTTGTTTGGGGTAGGGGACCACATCTAGACGGATTTTACACTCGAGTGCCAGAAATGCCCGATATTAGGGTGTTGGAATGGGGCTAAACTTAGACTTTAACAATTTTCCAGTGTTTACAAAATTGATTCATGGTCCCATTTGGCCTCTTTAGCCCTTGAGGAAAACACCATTGTCGAACAGATCATGCATCATGATCATAGACCTGAACCTTTTCATCTCTGCTCCATCTGTGGAAGCTTTCTAGAAATTCACCATCCTTGAGCTGATGTAGAGTGATTTTCAGCTAGAAACTGATCATGATATATGGAAATGTGGCTCATCTCCTTTGGAATACTCTGTCTCTTCCCTATATATGGCTATCACTAGAGAAAAAGACCCCGTTGCCGCTCTCAATTAGCTTTGGAAGTCCTGCTGCCAGAAAAAACACAAAGATCGATTATGGCTGCTCATATACAACAGATTGAACACAAGGGAGCTGCTCCCCGGTAAATACTTATTCCTCCCTGATTACACATTTGTGCTATGTGGAGGCCCGGCAACCGAATCAAGAGATCACCTTTTTACGAACCTCGTATGAGGGCAGAGAGGCCCATATTGCATTAAAGAAGAAGAGAGTTAGTCCAGTTAATAGGGGAAACCGGACCCAAAACCATTCCAATGTCTCTTTGATTATGTATGTTGGCAATATCTCTGTTAAGGATGGTTACCTGGGTTAGGCCACATTCAAGACCAAATTCAATCCTTAAGATCTGCTCTCCAAGTTCCATTTGCCATGGAAATCATTGTCTCTACTGCCTAGGCTATGTGGATCACTAGGAACTATTTCATCCACAAGGGCATGCAACCAAACATTTATTCTTGCATAACGAACTTCAGACAAGATATTTGCTTCTGATTCATAGGGCCTACCGCAAAGGATATCATTCTTGGGCCAATGCCTTTCGTTGTACTTTTCTTAAACCATGTTTTATTCATTGTTTTATTTTATGTGTACGGACTTCTTCTTTTTATTGAAAATCTATAAAAAAATAAGTAAGGAGAAATCCCTTCTGGTTCCCTACAAAAAAAAACTCCATGTATCTTCGCTGTGCAAAATCATGATTGTACATTTTGGCAGAAGCAATAGTTCATATCCGCATCATCTGAGATAAATGATTCATATCCACTACTCCAATTCCAAGCAAAGGATCTCATTGTTGTAATGAAACCAGAGACATTAAATGATGCATATCTCATGCATACATGTATTGATGTAGTACGAGTTGGAGGAGTCTATCTGTTTAAGACACGCATTCAAGCGAAGAAGGATCATTGTGCTAACCGCAAAGGATATGAATCTTGGGCCAATGCCTTTCACTAATTGTACTTCTCTTAGACCTTGCTTTATTCATTTTTATTTACCTGTACGAACTTCTCTTTTCTATTGAAAATCTATAAAAAATACATTAAGGAGAAATCCTTTCTGGCTTATAAAAAAACTCAGTGTATCTTCTCTACGTAAGATAATGATTATACATTTAGTTCACATCCACATAATTTGAGATTGAGATAAATGATGCATATACACTACTCCAACTCCAAGCAAAGGATCTCATTGTTGTAATGAAACCAGAGACATTAAATGATGCATATCTGGTCGCTACTCACTCCGATGGAGGCCAGGGAGCATTTGGTTACTGGATCTATCCGTTGGGAGATGGTAGCTCAGGATATCTTCAACCGGTTTGGATGGCGGTCATGTAATAGGATACACTAGTAGAAAACAGGGCTTTGGTCCAGGCCGGGTCAGCCCATTAGTCCCGGTTCAGTCTAGAACCGGGACCAATGTGGGCATTGGTCCCGGTTCGTGAGCCCAGGGGGCCGGCCGGGCCACGTGGGCCATTGGTCCCGGTTCATCTGGACCTTTTGGTCCCGGTTGGTGGGATGAACCGGGACCAATGGGCCTCGCTCCTGGCCTACCACCATTGGTCCCGGTTGGTGGCTTGAACCGGGACCAAAGGCTCCCCTTTAGTCCTGGCTCATGTCACCAACCGGGACCAATGAGGTGCCTATATATACCCCTCGCTCGCGAGCAGAGCACCCCAGTGCTCTGTTTTTCTCTGGCCGAGGGGAAGAGGGCTTTGTGGTGCTCTAGCTCACCTCCTATGCACATGAGGTATTCGATGGAATGCCCGAGCCACACTACTTAAGCTTTCTCCTCTCGAAGCTCGACCTCCAAGCTCCATTTTCCTCGAGATTTGTCTAGATTTAGCGGTCCGTCACGCCCCATCTCCGTCTTCACCGCCGTCGATCACCCGCGCCGATCTCATCACCGACACCACCGTGGTGAGCCTCTTGTTCTTATCTTCTTTCTGAAAGGAAAAATATTCTTACTTGTATGTTTAGATAGATACTTGTATCATTTTCTTACATTTATTATTGCATCTTATATAGTGCGATGGTTTTGGTATCCGCCCCCGTCGGCCCTCGTCCTGTCTATGATTCGGATATGGTATGTATATTATCTTTATAACTATTGTTTCATTTATTGTTTATGAAAATTATGCCGACCAACGTGACATAGATTTTATTTATCTAGGATGTATGTGAATCGGAAATGCCAACCGACCCTATTGTCGAGAGGTTAAATTTAGTTGAAGAAGAAAACAATTTGTTGAAGGAAAAAATAAAAAAAATTGAGGAGGAGAAGATGATATTGGAGTTGCATGTTGCGGATGTCGTCGATGATCACAAGATCAAGATGGATCCAATGCGCTTGAAGATTAGAAAGATTAGAAAATATGCCATTCATACCGAGGCTTGGTATCATTATGCCGTTGGATCAATTGTTACCTTGGTTGCGATTATGATCACATTTGATTTCGCATTGAAATATTTTACATAGTTTCAATGTATGGTTTAATTAATTAGATGCTCTGGAGAGTTATATGTTGTTAGATAAGAACTATGTATGCACTTTGGTTTTAATGTGATGATGAACTTCTATTAATTTGGACACTTAATTATATATAATGCACGCAGATGAACCGGCAAAGGATGTACGATGACAGACACACCCGCGAGTACATTAAGGGCGTGCATGAGTTTCTCGATGCGGCTGAGGCAAACAAGCAGAATGGTTTTATGTGTTGTCCATGCACTGAATGTGGGAATACGAGGTCTTACTCTAACCGGAAAATCCTTCACTCCCACCTGCTTTACAAGGGTTTCATGCCACACTATAATGTTTGGACGAGGCACGGAGAAATAGGGGTTATGATGGAAGACGACGAAGAAGAAGACTACGATGACAACTATGTGCCCCCTGAATACGGTGATGCTGCAACGGGGGGAGCTGATGAAGATCAAGAGGAACCAGACGATGTGCCCAATGATGCTGCAACGGGTGAAGCTGCTGAATA